TACAACAACACTCTAGCCTTTAGCTTGAGTCACAAAAAAGCATCAAGGCCTAGATTCATAGATGCTAGGGTGGGAAGGGACCTCAACAGGTCATTAAGTCTGACCCCCTGCCCTGGGCAGGAAAGGTGCTGGGGTCAGATGACCCCCACAAGATGCCTATCCAGACTTCTCTTAAAGACCCCCAAGGTAGGGAAGAGCATCGCCTCCCTTGGAAGCCCATTCCAAATTTTGGCCACCTACCTTTGCATGAACTGTTTTTCAGAGGATTAATCTACCAGGGTAGAATAGAATTGCATTTAGGCATCTAATCTACTTACAGGCCTAATCGGTGGAATAAAATCAGGCCCTTTCAGTGCCTGTGCATGTATGGGATGCCTGCTCCGACACATTATAATCAGAACGCGTCACAGGAGACTCAAAATGAGCCTGCTCGAGTGCTCTAATTAGAACGCTCCAGCAGCCTCGCTGTCACGTGTATTCAGTGTCCCCATATTTCAAAAGGGCCGTGGGGGTGCTTTAATTAAAGTTTGTCAAGTGAGCTTTAGTTAAAGCACCCCTGCCACCATTTTGAAGTGTGGGATACTGAGTACACAAGCTTGGGTGCTTGGGAGCCGTTCTAATTAAAATGCTCCTCCCTGAGCACATGTATAGACACCCCTCGTGTTTAAGTCCCAGCTCTGGGAAGACTTTGAGCAGGTCACTTAAACCCAGCTTTTTGAAAATACAGATAGGTGCTGTTTCTGAAGTTAGGCTCCTACGCACACTGAAAATCTGACTGGGCACCTAACTGCAGGGTTAACTGCAGAGTCACCCCTCTGAAATCTGACACAGCCTCTTTGTGCTACAGCTCCCAGTCTGTGAAGGGAGAGTAATAGCACTGCTCTGCCCTGCAGGCCAAGTAGCAAGTTGCATAGGAGGAAGGTCTCAGGTGCTATGGTCCTTTATAAATACCTTTCTGGTACAGTATAGCACAGGGGTTGGCAACCTATGGCACGCATGCCAAACATAGCATGCAGCATGGTTTTTATTGGCACGCAGGCTGCTTCCCGCCCCTTGGGGCAGGAAGAGGCGTGCCCAGATTGAGCAGCACATGGCTGCCTGGGAACAGCCTGGTGCTGCTGCCGATCCCTGACTTGCCACTGCTGGACCCCAGCCCCAGAACACCCTGAGCACGCTGCCAACCCCAGCCAGGAAAGAGCCCCTAGCCCCAACGCTAGCCTGGCGCTGGCCCCGGGCTGGGGACTGTCCTTGCCCCAATGGCCCCGGCCCAAACCCTGCGCTGCTGGCCATGTGCCGCTGGCAGGCCCCAGCCGGCACCACTGCCATTGCCAGCCCCAGCCCAGTGCCAGCGCCAGCGCCAGGCTGGGGCTGTCAGCAGAGTTGGGATGGGGCCGGGGCCGCGGACCTGAATGGGCCCTGGCCCCATCCCAGCACTACAGACGGTCCTGGCCATGTGCTGCCGGCGGGCCTGGCCGGCTCCACTGCTGCGGCAGGGCAGTCAGCAGCGCTGGGGTGAGGCTGGGGCCCAGGCCTGCGGACCTGCTCAGGCCCTGGCCCTATCCCTGTGCTGCTGGAAGGTCCAGCCACGTGCTGCCGGCAGGCCCAGCCCTGGCCGGCACCTCCACTGCCGCTGCCCGCCCCAGCCCAGTGCTGCTGCTGGGCCAGGGCCATCCGCAGTGCCAGGATGAGGCCAGGGCCCAGGCCCACAGACGTGCGTGGGCCCCGTCTCTTGGTGCTGCAGATGGCCCCGGCCCCAGCCACGTGCTGCTGGTGGGCCTGGCCCCAGCGAGCACCACCGCTGCCACCGGCCCCAC